TCTAGGTCAAAACATTGTTTTATGGCCTCCGTAATACATGCCAAATGACAACTTGAACTCCATGTACTACTATATATATATATATATATATATATATATAACAAAGGTCATTCCTTGCTGCGGCCCTTGCTCCGTCATATCGCTTCACTGATCAATATGAATCAGTTCAAACAATAATGATTAGCTGCTCCATCAGTTCCCTCGCCAGTGTGCTGCTGCAGTGGTTTATTAACCGTTTTTAATCAAGCCTATGTGACCTCTTAATGAACTCTATTAGATGTCAGACTGTGCTTCTAAGACACATGTCGACAGTCAGTGGAGGTAGATGTGTCTTAATAGCAGAATTTGTAACTGTTATAAAAGTATTTTTATAATATGGTGTTTGTGTTATTATGTCCATCCACTGAACGCCTGCTCTGAAAACTCATTTATCCATGTGTGTGTTTTTGTTTAGTCTAGACAATGTTACATCATCCTGGCAGGGTGTTTGTATGTTATTGTATCTATTGTGGCTTACTACATCATGTCATGCTCTCGTCAGGCACGGTTACACATGGCTAGTGGTGCCCTGACCTACAACTCCCCCTCTTGTTTGTCAGCGGTTGTTTGGCCTACTTTCATTAAGACAAACACAGTCATTTGTTTTGTTTTGCATTTCTATGAAAATGGAATAAACAAGTGGCAGGAGGGGGACAGCTGGAGCAGCTTTTTCTGTGTGGGGTGTTGAATAGATAACTGGATAGAGCAACTTTTGACACGTCATTAACAAGCAATCATTCCTGGAAAATTCAAATAAATGAAATAATAAAAACATAAAAATTAGCCAAGAATATTCACTCTATGATAATAATAAATATAATCAAACTCATTACTAAGACTATGGACCCCTCTTGTCAAAGATATGACAATTACAATTACTTTAACGATCAACCGGAAAGATTTTAATTTGCAACTTTATTTGCATCTCTTCCCTGACCTTCTGGACACCAACCGAACTGCGGGACCCGAGATGGGCAGACCCTCAAACTGAATCCGCCCTCCCTCCCCTCTTCTCTCACTCCATGGACAGTGAGGATGATACAGTCTGTTAATGAGTGTGCTCCATAGCTCTTTAGAGTCCTTAATTAGTGGCACACTGACACTGGCCAGCCATGCACCAGGAGGGGCATGCTGGGAAGATGGGGAGGCACACTGGGGGAGGGGAGTCAAGTTTATGAGCCCACTGTTGGCTTTGCTGTCACAAAAATAGGTCCTTTTAAAAAAAACAAAAAGGATGCCTAACATATTCTGAATTATCAGTCCAGCCAATTGGATTCCAAAAGAAAATCAATTGTTTTGACAAGAGGGACCTGATCAAACACAATTGATTATGTCTTTGAAAGGGTGTGACATGGATAGCTCTCCGCGGCTGGGCAATGGACTGTAGCAAACACATGTGATTGAAAAGCTTTAAATGGGTGTCAAACAAGCGAGGACATAATGTTTGACTTAAATTATCAGCAGTCCCACAGGAGGCTTCTGGGCCCGCTCCCCAGAGCCGGAGTGTGTGTGGAATACAAACAGGGGATTCACCAGTGACCAGTGGGTCAGCGCTGGAAGAGGGACGGGTGCCGGTGGCTCCTGTGGGACTTGGCGACATTCCTACAGCAGTTTTTTTTATTTGCTGGACATGACCCCCCCCCCAGCAGGCGCTAACAGGACAGATGACACTTCTCACATACAGCCACAGTCACTCCGAGTGTGTGTGTGTGTGTGTTAGAGGAGCAGGTGGGGGGTGGGCTGTTGTAGGGTCCCAGATGGGTTAATGGGGAGTTCAGCATCCGGATTACAATGCAACAGTGTGGCTTCAGATTGAGTAGTGATTACCCCACGCTTACACTGGCTACCCCCCTCAATGTTCACCAATACCACCGCTGGGCCAACAACACAGGATGCCGTTGGATAAACATTATATAAGATATTACAATTATTGTGGTAAACGATTTTTTGAAAGTGTCTCAAAAATGTAAGTAAAATAAATTAAAGTCCCTAAAATGTTTTGTCCTAAAAAAACTAAACAAAGCTACAGTACCTCCATATTGTTTACTCCACAATGTCTTTTTAAAAACAAATTGGGTATATACGTGTACAAATGAATCTTGGGTTTTCTAATTAACCAAAATAAAATGATGAAAACTGTTTTCCCATTATACAACCTTGTAGATGTAGAGGGTGTTTTTTTTAGAAAGAAATTATACTAAAATCTCCATTTGAGCAATCAGTCTATGCAGGTGGTAATTAAAAAAACAAAATGTGCTCCCTCTATTGGCCATAACAGGTTATTATGAATTATAAAGTTAAGATTTATAGTTATTATAATATTTCTTACTCCTTCGTGAGTTTAGACTTTATGATTGGTCAGTCTCTCTCTACTCCATCTTTCTCCATCAGCTCCCCAGCTCACCAGTGTGCTAGACTAATCTGTTTGTCAAACGCGTGTCTTGCCTCTGCAACCTACACCTCCCCTGCCTGAGAAAGCCTGCCTGCCTATCCTCCCAATCCATAACTCCTCCACGAGAGTAGACTCTCTGCTACTCCCTCCTCACCTCCACTCCCTCCATCCTCTCCTCCTGCCTATATCCTCCTCCTCCTCCTCACCTCCCCCTCTTCACCTCCCCAGCTGCTGGCCATCACAGGTCGAGCTCCAGCACCGCCAGCCAGCCCAGGGAGATTGAAATGTTAAGGGCAGGGACGACAGCTCCACTAATTAAATTCCCCAGGTTAATCCCTGCCGGTCCCCTTAACGCACTCTCCAACTGGGCCCTGCAAGGAGACAGGGGGCTTGAAATGTTTAAGGGCAGAGAGGCGACACAGCTCCACTAAGTTAAATTCCCCAGAGTTAAGAGTCCCTGCCGAGTCCCCTTAACGCACTCTCCAACAGGGACCCTGCAAGGAGACAGGAGGGCTGAGACAGGGAGAGGGAGGATGCACGCGGGGGGGGGGGGAACGAAACATTCAACATTTATAATGGGCACGAAAAATTCTAAAACTAAATAGAATGGAGAAATTAAAAGATTGAAAACGCTGCACGCGGTGCAAATATGTGGACAATGGGTTATAACATCTGCAAACAAACATGTGCACACTAATGCATCCCAAAGAAAAAAAACTCACAGCGCATTATAATTATAATTCATCTTTATCCTGTCTTCCTTAACATTTTTAAATAAATGATAGGGACAACAATTTTACTTCTGACTGTGGCGTTGTCTTGAAAATATATTCTTATTAAAGTGAACCTGTGTGTTGACTGGCTGCCCTCACATTCCCAGGACTACCATCAGACCTGTCATCATCGCAGCATGTAGATACACCTTGTGTCTGACCCTGTGCCACTGTACTGACCAACAACAGTCAACTCTGTGACCTTGAGCACTGCAGAGGAGGGGAAACATTCCACCTCCTATTAAGTGCTGAGCGTAAATTACTGTTGAACTGGTCTTAGAGCAAGATCTCTTTTGCTCTAATTTCTTCTAACTTATCAACAAACTGACCAACTTTGTATGCCACAACATGTTGTTACATGTTAAAAAGGCACATGTGAAAGACTAATAACACTCTTTTCTTGTCACAATTAACAATAGACAGCTAAGTTCCAATGTTCAAGGCGAATGCATCATGAAAAAATAGCACTACAGAAATAAATACTACTGTCCCAATAGGTCTGTGGCAGTGAATAGAAGGAGTGGGAAGAGGAAAGCAGATTTAAAAAGGGATGAATAGAGCAGGTGCTTTGGTACACAGTGGGTGTGGTGTTGGGGAAGACGCGGGTGGATCACACAGTGTGGGCGTGCTGCGTCACACACACCACGCGCCTGCGTTGTGGCTTCGCTCAGAGGTGTAATGCCTGATTAGGGGATTACAGGAAAGTGCTTCTTTGCAGTTCTGTGAGAAACAATTATTAACATGTTGGTGTCTCTAATCCTGGATAAACACAGCTTTTCAAGAACAACAGCGAGTCTTTCTTCCCTCTTAAAAAAAAAAAGAAATCTGTGTTTAAACCCCGTAGTCACTTGAACTCCAAAGCCTAACTAATACCAGCGGAGGAGACAGGCCAGTCGTGTGTAACAGTGTCATTACAGAGGTTGTGCTCTTGGTGGAAGACATAGCTGGCCAGCAGGCCTTCACATCGGAGGGGAAATCCACATTTAGCTTGGGGAGAGAAAAGCATTGTGCTGAGCACTGCTTGTTGAAAGGGCATTAGACTGAAACATGTTCACAGCCTGTAATCTTTTATTTGTTTGTACACTTTCCTCATGTAATCTGCTCTCTACTAATACTGAGACGATGTTCTGAGTCATGCTGGGGAACCCATGGAAAACAGATCCAGGTGGGGTAGTGGGACAAAGACTTACAGCATGTTGAAGCTTCATACGACTGAATTTTAACACGCAAAGATTTTATTTTTTAAAAAGGCCTGCCAGGATTCTTTTTTTGGCCATTTTTTTTTTTTACGTATAAGAAGCAGCACAGCCTCTCTTGGATGGTAACATGGCTTTTAAACACATATTTTAAGTGTTTATTACAACATTTGTAGCACATTTGACAGTATATGGCAAATGCTACCACGGTGACGATCAGTCCTTCGTGTAACCATTAAATCCCAGACTATGACCCAGTGGTAAAAACAAAGAGTGATTGAACAAAATGAATATCTTGCAGTGCATGGAATAACACAAGACATTAATACAGGAATGTAGGGATTCATAAACTCAAATGGAGACTATTTAGTTGCAGCTGAGTGTGATAAAAGTCAGGCAAGAAGCAATCAACACTCTGCTGATTCCTGAGCCACCAATCTACCCTCACACACATATACCTGCACACACTTTATCATTTCAGTGTTGCCTGTGGCTCTGAAATAGAGCACATCAAAACAACCTGTACTTTTCATTTCAGATACCCTTGAACATGCTGACTGGCCAAACTGTCCACGAGCTGACACTTTGAAGAGTACCTCATCTGAGTCGTCTCTCCTGCCGCCATTCTGTGTGGCCCTGAAAGATGGTTGATGATACATTCAGTAACATGGCTGCTAGGAAACAAGTTACATTTAGTTGACCAATCCATGTATACAAATAATAAGCTAAGATGTAGAATATGTAAACTGTACCACAGGGGCTAAAGGTTATTCTAAAATCACCAATTAAGTTTTATATCCATATAGAATGTATAGTGCTGCACTTTGATTGACCTCTGAATCAGTTGAGAAGCGTACCAGTGAGTATCACCATGGTTCCAGTCGCCTGGCTTCCACAGAAGAAGGTGCTGGTGTGCGATGATGGGGATGTGTTTTGCCCATCTGGCAGGGCAGGGTTTAACCCTAATCCCGGAGCCCCTCAGCAGGGGAGCCCCCAGTCTGTTGATCACCGCCCCCCTGCTGACTCCTCAACACTCTGACCTCCTCAGCGCACAAACACACAGACCCCTGTCACAGGAAAACAAGCCTCCACAAAACATCATCACATAAACTGCAGGGCATTATGCCAGATTAGTTTACGAGAGCTTCATATTCCACAAACCTTCTCTCATCTTTCTAGGCATATGTCAATGTTGGGAGAAGGGTTTTGATGTCCAGTAGAAACGTACAGGCTTAGGCAGCAGCTCACAAATACAAACAGGCACTGTGAAAGACAAGAAAGGAATATGACCCGAACCAATAGGAAAACATAGAAACATACACACACATGCAGAGGGCGCAGAGACCTGTTTTTGTGAGGCGATGTACAATAACACATTTATCACACACGCAAGTGGAGACCGAGTAAATATACACACAAATAATTACAAAAACAGACGGAGAGGCAAACACACAAAGACACCCAGAAGCAGTCACCCAGCCATACACACCACACACCTAACCACTGATAATCCCCCAGACACAGGAACACACTCACACACACACCGCACACATACAGAGCATCATTATGTTTATCACTGTGAACCAGCCCACCGACACCCATCACTCTAATTCCATTTGTCTGTTTAGATTCGTTTTGCTTTAATCCTCCCTTGTTTGTGCACATCTGCAAGCACTGCAATAGTACAGACACAGCGAGACCGGGAACGAGACAGACAGGAAGAGACAGAGTGAAAAAGAGAGAGAGAGCTCACAGGGTGCACTCTCCCTCCTGACATCCCGGTCCCTGTAGCTCCAGCAGAAGGGGCAGACAGGCGTATCTCCTTACCCAGGGAGAAGCTCCCCGACCCAGCCACGGAGCCGCCGCCAGGCCCGCAGGCCCCTGTAATCACTGCAAACAGTCAAACATCCAGTCACACAGGCTCTTACACCAACACAACATTACAGGCTTTTTACACAGTATTACACCACATCTTATTATCCCATTCAAGTCCCTCTATTAGCTCAATTGGATGGTGGGATTTTCCATTTGTAAATTGGGGGATTTTAGATTAGCTTGTCTGTCAGCGATGAAATGCCCCCTGAGACTGAATTATGTGACCAATCACACATGAATCAATGCTTACGCATACTGTACTGCATGAATGGATGGTGTCAGCAGGAAGAAATGACACCACCATAACCTAGAGGATGTACTGTACATTTGAGACACCACAGGTTTTATCAATGCAAGCATCACAGCTGTGTGGCTGCAGATTAGATACACTCTTTAACTCGTCTCTTAATTTAAATACAGGCATATGATTCAGCCCAGATGTATCAACAAAAATGTGAATGGCACCATTTTTGTGCAGCTGACAATAAGCAGTGTTAGCTTTTATACGGCAAATAATATTCAGGTCTAATAGAGAACTATTAAAGAGATAAATATATGCTACAATACACACCTAGCAGCAACATTATGCAGAACTGAAGCGGGTTGGTTGAAAGGAGGCGAATGAATTACCCCTCTTCCTCCCCAGGCCTTCCATTCAGACACGGAGTGAGAAAGTGAGGGAGGAGAGAGAGGAAAAAAGGCACCCCGAGCTAGTCAAGAGACCCGGCAAATTATGAAAATGCCTCTCTGTGTCCTAAATGGAGGCCGAGCTCTTTAATGTGGCACAAAATTAGAACCTGGGGGAGGAAGTGTGGCCCGCTTGATTGGCGAAACCCCTCCTGGCCCACTACCCTCCTTCTCCCCCTCTCAAAGCACGCAGAGATATTATCCTGTTGCTGGTGGCGCTCTCTATTGGGGAAACTGAAGGACCCCAGAGAGAGCCCAGGGGCGTCCATAAAGGTGCCTAATTTGTCAGTTTACTCCTCAATTATTTAAATAGATCTAAGAAGGGAGCTGAGAATGGGGCTTTTTCTGCCTCTTCGCAGTCAAAGGCAGAGAGAGACCTTTCTCCACGGTAGCCATTTTCAATTGCGCTCTGCACTGCTGTCTTTGATATACAGAAGTGCTGTAGTAGAGAGGGGCTGTATCAAATAAACAAATGTGTGTACACAAGATAACAACGGCAACTTGGGGATAATATTCAGTTTGCTCTGAAGAACTCAGTTATTTCACATTTAGAGATTAAAAACAAACTTTACCAACACATGCACACAATGTACACAGACACACGTTAACATTGTGTCCGTCTCATACATAGGCAAAAACACCCACGCATCTATCTGTGAGGATTTAGTCGAGGTAGGGATATAAAGCGGGGACCCTTTGTTACTCATCCCTCTGCTTTTCCATCCATCCACACCACCAGGTTATAACCCCACCCCCCATTCTCTATCAGCACCCCACACTCAGTAGGAGCACCAGCTCACTCCGCCTGGCATTGCCAGCTCTCAGCCAGAGACCACTGGAGGTATGTGGGGCCCGGGGCCAGAGATTACCGAACGGTTGAAGATTGATCCTGGAAATGTTGGTGTTGCATTCCCCAACCCTCTGACCTCTAATCCTTCACATATCTGCCTCCATTGTTTGGTTTGTTTTACTAGAGGGGCGAGGTTTCGTGGGCTGAGGAGGATGAGGGCGCTGTGAAGGTGGAGGGGGTCCTGAGGTGACCTTATCTCTCACATGCGTCTGGTGGAGGCAGGTAAAGGACCCTCTCTATGTCTGAATGCTTTGCCGCAGACCCCTATTGAGATGAACTCTCATCTGTGCAACAACAATCACTTTCAATAAGCTCTATATCAGCAGCGGTGCCAGCACTGCGGCCAGTGGCAGCACAATAGTCTGGGTTCGCCTACACAAAGACGTGAGCACCAAGACAATAACACAGTGCTTTAAATGCAGGAAAGACACTTAGAAACAGCGAAAACCCTTCTTGGCACAATAGACGCATTGCAACCCAAATACAAACAGGAAACACCATGGCGAGCAGCACAACAAACACCTGAACAAATAAACTCAGTAAACTTGCAAACATACTGTACCTGGCATACAAACAGTGGCTCCCACACACTGAGAAACACACACATGATGAGTGGAAACAAACAAAAACCTGAGACAGTCAATCATGACATCACGTCAACACAGACTGACGCTAATGGGCCTAAATCTACCCAATACACATCACTTGAGTTAATAGGAAAATATTTAACTTAGCCAAATAACAATTACTTTAAGTATGTTTAGGGACTTTTAAAGTTGAAGTACCACTGTGTTGAGAATCTATTCTGTTTTCTAAGACATTGGAGTCAACCAACTGACAAGATGTGCCATTTTGGTTAAACCTGCAGCTTAGAGCAGGAGAATAACAACAATCCAAAGCTAAAAATGTGTGTGGAGAGTTTGGTAGCAGGCATTGACAACCTCTACAAAAGATAGGTGGCACCTAGTAAACATCCTTGAAACAGGTTTCTCATGCTTAGGAAAGGGATCTGCAGGCAAAGTTTTTCAGAGTGCAAGATTCTGCAAAATCTGCGGCCAGCTCAGTATATCATGCCTCTCACACCCTCTATTCTCTTCCCAAACACTAACCAACACACCCGGCCCTCCGCCTCCCTCCACTCCAAGCTTCCATCCAGCCAGGGAGAGGAGAGGAGAGAAGATAGGCCCAGTTGCTAAAGCTTTCTTTTCAGCCCCTGCTCCCGCTCGGTCTATCTGAGATACACAGCAAGCGGAGGTGTCGCTTTTCCGCTGGCATTTCGGACAGTATCTACTTATAGACGGGAGAAAAAGAGAAAAGAAAAACAGAAGGGGTATTATCAGGGAGGGATGAGAGCAGCAAAGGCATTTTGTCTTTTTATTCCCCTCCTAAGCCCTGGGCTTTGCTCCCAATCCGATTGGTCGATACGGCCAGGGATGTAAATGAAATGCAAAGAGGAATAAGGCTGGCTTCCCATCTCCAGTGTGTGCCCCCCTAAGTCCTCCTCCCCTCTTTCTCTGTCTCACTGTTTATGGTGTTGTGTTCCTGTTTCCCCATTCACAGACTTGCTGCTCTCCCTGTTTCCGTCTCACCCTCCTTACTCTGCTTCCCCCCCCCTCCTTTCTCGCTCATCCCTCCCCTCTCCCTGGCTGGGCTCCCACAGCTACTTATCTCCTCAGCCGCCCACATTCCAGCGTTTGCCGTGGCTCCCTGCCTGGCATCCCTGGTCACGG